GACCAGCCCTTCTGGCACCAACAACCATGCCACGTTCAAAGGCACTCAAATCACCTTTCTTCCCCATACTGATGCTCRGTTTGAACTGCAGGAGATTGTCTTGACCATGTCTACATGCCTAAATGCACTGAGTTGCCACCATGTCATTGGCTGATTAGAAATTAAGTGTTAACGAGCAGTTGGACAGGTGTACCTAATAAAGTGGCCGGTGAGTGTACATATACCTAGTACAGTAAATAAATGAATGTATATGAAGGTGCATATTAGTGATGGCAGTGTAGGTAAATTGTCCAAGTGACTGATAACATCATACAGTATAACATACAGTATATATACTGTTTATACAGTCTAACTGCAGTTGGAATGAATGACCTATGGAAGCGCTCTGTCCTGCAGAGGATGTTTAAGTCTCTGACTGAAGGAGCTGCTCAGCCACCCCCCCCACCCCCATGGTTTCATGCAGAGAATGGTGGGGGTTGTTCATAATGGCTGTCAGCTTTGCTAACATCCTCCCCTCTCCCACCACAACCAAAGACTCCAGAGAACATCCCAGCACAGAGCTTGACCTCTGTATCAGTTTGTCCATCCTGTTCCTGTCGAGGTCCTGTCGCGACTGTCCTGTCCTGGTTGCGTGGGAGGGAAAGCACTTATGTTTCGATTGCAACAAGTGCTCTGAAATCAACCTGATTCTGACCAGGTTTAAAGTTGAGCTTATTTAATCTGTTAATGTTTCTGAGCAATAGACTATTATGCAGAGACCTATTATGCAAAATTTACTTTTTAAAGCTTTTTTTACTCAACTTTGGGTATGTACTTCTTAAAAAACAGTCCAAGGACCAAAAAAATGCACCCAGGGGCATATTTACTGTAAGTAAATGTATTTTTAATGTATATTAATGACAAGTTTTATACTTCTGTTATTTTGTGATGTCACAAGCCGTACGACAATCCACCAGAACCTGCGTTCAGCCCCTTACCTAGCAACCCCGGGTGAGACTCCACCTCCTCGGTATAAAGAGCCGTCGCGGTGTTGTTGTGCAATGCGCAGCTCAGTTCACAACAGAGTGTTGGACGGAACGGAAGTCAGAGCAGGCAAAACTAGAAAATGGGAAATTTTATTATCTGAGAATTATTTTGTGTATTAAATTGAATGAACGTGGTCTGGATAGCCCACAGACATACCATAAAAAATTTCTAGGACCCATAATTGGTCTCCTTTAATCAAAAGAGTTAAAAACAAAAACAACTGGACTTCCAATTCTAAAGTTGAAGACTTCCCATCCAGGAGGCTTTTCAGTTCAAAGTCTGTAGTGAGCTGAATGCTGGCTTTAAAATATCCACCATGTGAGGACTTGTAAATCACGCTGGAACCGAGGCCCCGTGTGACTCCCAAAAGAGGTGTTCTGGTCACATGCTTGAAGGTGTGAACTATCTGCCTGTTTCAAAGTGCCCTCCTTAGTCCTTTTGTCTGTATAGTTTGTGAGAGAGCTGTTTTTGGTCATATTCCTGAGGGTGAGTTGGGGTGAAACTGACTGGGAATCTGGCTTAAAACTGCATTGTAAGTTTTTGATAGTTGAAATCTATGGAGCCCACGGGGAGTCAGGGGCGAAAATAAAAAACAGCCGCCGGAAATGCGTGCGCATGGATTACTAAACCGTGAGCACAGATTACTAAACTGTGCGCACGGATTACTAAACTGTTTGCACGGATTACTAAACCGCAAACACGGATTACTAAACTGTGCGCACAGATTACTAAACTGTGCTCTCAGTTTCTGCAACCCGTGCGCACGGATTACAAAACTATGCTCTCAGTTGCTTCAATCCGGGTGCGCAGATCATGTCGAGAGGTTGGACGCATGGTACAGAGCTGCATCTGCAAGGTAAATTCAGTGGATCTGTTGTCATATTTATAAAGCAAGCTGCCATTAATCAGCACACTCACAGCTCGTTATAAGACTTTATTTAGTCTGTTACCTAGAGATAAAACCTTTAAAATGTCAATGGCAGCTAACGTTTATTTGGCCATTTTCTCCTATTGGTAGCTATTGTTAATGAACAGGTTTTTAAAATAATGCGTAACAAACTATTACATACAAACACAGAAACCACTGCATGGACGTGCACAGGTAGACGTCAGGTGCTTGAGCACCTGCACTTTCCCTCCAGACCCTGCCGAACCTATTTTTTTATGCTCCATCTGTTGGTTACACTGCTGTCTTATTAAGTGTACAACTGTAATAGTAATATTTTTAATATTATTAATAATAATATTGCCCTCACAACGTCCCTTCAACACACACATGTGCACTGTCGCTCAAAACGTGCTGCGCGTTCGGACAGGAGGAATGTTGTTGTGAAGCAGCTCCTCTCCTCTCCTCTCATCCACAACAGAGGACAGTTAAGGAGCAGGTAATTTACCCCCAGGCAAACTGTATGGGACTGTCCCGCATTTTTCACTCTTGCCCCGGCATCCCGCAAATTTAAACAAAGTCCGGCATTTGATTGTTTAAATTATGAAAAGTCAAGATGAGGAGAGAAGAGAGGTATGCGTAAAAGACGCAGTGCCATAACGTGCAGTAGCGTGTCTTGCTCACCGCAGCCACTGTACTAAAAAAAAATCTATATCTAAACACTGCACAAGAAAACAAATCTGATGTGCAGAATGTACGGAGCTGCATCTGCAAGATAAATTCAGTGGATCTGTTGTCATATATAAATGTAGGGATTTTGGGTATTTTCTAAAATGGATAATTTGTGAATATATTTAAGTACACCAATTGTATTTTTCCTCGAGGTAACATGCTCTTAATTTGGTCCAGGATTGACCCAGGAAAGAGACGAAAAACCTGTAACTTTATTGTAATCAGACTCACAATAAATGTACCCAAAAGGATTTTATGAGTTCTTGTCTTATCAGAACCAATAATACCTTCATCAAGACACAAAAATGAGATTAGCTTACACGTTCTCCACGGGCCATTTATTTACAGATTAAATGTATTTACAACTATGGCGAGTAATGAGTGATGACATGTTGAACCAGGTAAAAACTGAAAGCGTTTGCTATCACGAGTGAATAAACAAACAAACGTAAAATAAACACTGAGAGGTGAGTTTTGCTTTTAGTTGTGGATTTAACTAAGGGTGTCCTAGTTAAATTAGGGAGAAAAATCGTTTAGTTTACCAAATCTCATACAAAGATAAAAATCAAATTAGTCTGAGCACCTGTGTGTCACCAGGACAAATGTTCACTTTTACCCTTTTTTTCTGCCATGTGGGTACCAGGAGGGAAGTCAGCGGTGGAAGGTCATCTCTGGGGTCGTTCTTCCAGGTAGGCTTTCCATGCAAGCTGGATGTCAGGCGGTCTGCTTGATAAACTCGACTGGTCCCTTGGTCAGAGAAGGGGGTCACTCCCTGGTGACTCGTGTTCCGGTCTTTCCCAGGCGGCTGCAAGACTTCTTAATTTGATTTCCACTTTATAGAGAAAACGAACTAAAACGACGCATGAATTACAATTAGCTTATTTAACATCTATAAAATCAAACTCAGATATTGAGCCGATATGAAACGGTAGCTGTTCGGTCAATCAGCGGGAGATGCAGAATGACCCCATCCTGTCCAGCCCATGGGGAGCGGCTGGCAGG